CCAGGGCGAGTTCAGTCTAATGCAAAGGATTGAAACGCGCTAGTAGACATTGAGTGCTTGGGATTCAAAAGAAAACACTAAATCCAACCGAATGAAAACTAATCAGAAACCGTCTTTCTACCGGAGCGAATGCACTGGGCGACCTATTGTGGTCAAGCTCTTCCCCAAACACAAAATCTACACGCTTCAGGACAGAAATGGTGGACTGAGATTCCCAAGCAGTCCGACTTGGAGTAAACCCAAACAACGAAAAACTACAACGACGAACGAAACGTGAGAAACTTCTTCAGATCAGTGCACTTATTGAACGGGAAATTCTAACCTAACAATCAACACAATTATTTAGCAGAATTTAAAATAAAAATACATTTATCTAGACAAAAAAAACTACAAGGGACAGCCCTATGGGGTTGTACGTAATAGTGACGTAGGACTACGTGATCTTATTTTATACACCTTATTTTTTAACTGCAGCAGGAGCTTGTGTTTTTTGTAAAAATAGGAATTTGAGCGGGGTTCTCTCTGTTTATACTCTTTAGTATGACGCGCTTGACGGCCCACAGCGTCTCACGAAGAGCTACTGATTCCGATCAATAGCGGTGTGGCTTCTTCCTCCTTCTATGGGTGCTCATGTGGGCTGCAGCTCGCCTTTTGCAGGCAGCCATGCGTTGTGTACTGAAGAACACCACCACTCACCACGCGGTGATTGAATAAATAATACCGTTTGGTGAGACCGGATGGAATTCAGCTTTGAAAATCGCTTTTTGCAGGCAATCGGTGATAATTTTAACTATCATAGCAACAGTTGCACATTCGTGTAATTTCCAAGTGTGAAATTTTGAAAAATGATAAGGACTTAATTTCAACAGATGCATAAGAATCTCTGATATTTCTGATCGATTGGTGGTAAAATTATTGAAATTGGTCCAGGGTCAGCTGAGTTATTAACGTTCAAAATCTTTCATAATTTTGTTACATGTTCTATTTTTGGTTTTCACAAAGTGTACCCCCATATAGAAATTACAGACGTAGTCATACGGCAAAAATAATGGAACGAGACATTTATTAACCTAAACATTTTTTATTCGGGAACCCTTTTTTTAACTCTTTATTTGTTCCAAATTCAAAATAAATTACATTTCATTTTAACTTAGGTGCTTTAGTTACTCCAGTAACTTACCAGTCTTAATTGTTATGATATATATCTAAGTGTTTTTACATTGTTCCTGTCTCGGCAATGCAGTATTTTAAACAGGTTTTTTTTAAATCTGCATTTCAGTATAATAATTGATATCTTAAAACTAAAAACTAAAACTAAATCTTATCTAAGTATAAAGGGAATTAATCGTTGCAATTGAGGATTGCAACGATTTTTGCCTGAAATTATTAATTATTTTGTCGGACATTTGTTCTAAAGTCTCAATATTAGAAATTCTATGTACCTCAGCAGTACTGTACCAGGGAGGCAACTTCAAAATCATCTTCAGAACTTTGTTCTGAATTCTTTGAAGTGCTTTTTTCCTGGTAGTGCAGAAACTAGACCATATTGGCACAGCGTAAAGCATGGCCGGTCTAAAAACTTGTTTAAATATTAGAAGTTTATTCGTCAGGCAAACTTTGGATTTCCTGTTTAAAAGAGGATACAAACATTTTATGAATTTGTTACATTTGGCTTGATGCCCTCAATGTGATCTTTAAAAGTTAATTTTTGGTCAAGTACTAATCCAAGATATTTCACTTGGTTTGACCAGGTAATTGGAGCTCCGTTCATAGTGACTATGTGACTACTACTAGGTTTCAAAAAGGAAGCTCTAGGCTTATGTGGAAATATTATAAGTTGAGTTTTCGAAGCGTTGGGAGAAATCTTCCATTTTTGTAAATAAGACAGTGTTCGGAAAATCATTCTCCAATCTCTTTCATTGAGGCTCCTTGCGAGAGTAAACTCGCGTGCGAATGCGGCAAACAAAATTCACGCTTGAGATTCTCATGCATATTCACGCACTCACACTCACAACGCCGAAAAATCATTCCAGCTTTAAGCTCATAAAAATCCTCTCAAAAGTCAATTGATAGCATGCTTATGCATGTTGTGTTAGTTTTCCAACCCCTGATGCACAAAAAATAGAAATAACAATTATAAGCGCCAACATATACAGAAATTTATTTTTGAACCTGAAAACTCATCGGTGATTTTTGCGACGTTAAATTTTGGAAGGCAAAACTCATAGGCGCATAAACTCATGCATGAGATTTGAGTTTTTGAGTTTTTCCGAACACTGAAGAAGAGAAAATATCTTAACTTTTCTGCAGTCTGCTGCAAATAACACGAAGACTTCTTCCTTTAGCGGAAATCCCTGTATCATCAGCGAACAAAGATTTGTGGCAACCCTGAGGCAAATCAGGGAGGTCTGAAGTGAAAATGTTACACAATATAAATAGGCCCAAGAATGCTAAATTTGGAATTTTAATAATTTACCTGCAGAGTTCTGTCAGTTAAATAATTTTGAACTAATTTCATAATGTAGAGTGGAAAATTAAACTTTTTCAATTTAGCAATCAAACCTTCATGCCAAACACTGTCGAATCCTTTTTATATGTCTAGAAGAGCAACTCCAGTTGAGTGACCTCCAGATTTGTTTGAACGAAGTAAATTGGTAACTCTTAAGAGTTGATGAGTAGTTGAATGCCCATGGCGGAATCCAAACTGCTCATCTGCAAAAATTGAGTTCGTATTGATGTGAAGCATCATTCTATTTAAAATTATCTTTTCAAAAAGTTTACTTATTGAAGAAAGCAAACTTATTGGACGGTAGCTAGAAGCTTCAGCTGGATTTTTATTCGGCTTCAAAATTGATACAACTTTTGCATTTCTCCATTTATCAGGAAAGTATGCCAAATGGAAACATCTCTTGAATAATTTTACCAAGAAAGACAAGGTACTCTCTGGAAGTTTTTTGATGAGGATATAGAAAATTCCATCATCACCTGGAACTTTCATGTTTTGAAACTTTTTAGTTATAGACCTTACTTCGTCCAAATCAGTCCCCCAGGAATCATCAAAAATATTTTCCCGAGAGAAAATATTCAAATAATCCCGTGCAACCTGATTCTCAATAGGACTAGTAAGACCCAAACTGAAATTATGGGAACTCTCGAATTGCTTAGCAAGTTTCTGAGCTTTTCCCAAATTTGTTATCAAAATATATAGGCTTTTGAGGTTTTTTCAAAATGTTTGTGAGTTTTCAAAAGGGTTTGGAACTCGGGTCTAATTTAGAAACATTATTTTTAAAAGTTTTGTTCCTCAGGGCAGAGAATCACTTTTTAATTTGTTTTTTGCAAATCCCGCCAGATAGCTTTCATGGCAGGATCGCGTGTTATTATATATATTGTCTCCTACGGACATTTTTAAGACGGATCAAGAGCTGAAGATCGTCGTCTATTATAATTGAATCGAATTTAACCTCGCATTTTGGTACTATTCGGGAACCCTCATTCTTCTCTTTACTCTATCTCTAATTCCCTACACAGCAAAAAAATAATTTTGATATCACATCAAAGTGGATGCACTACAATCATGTCGAAAATTTCATGTAATTTTTATGACCACATAAATAAATAAATGCAGTAAAAGCAGCGTAATGCCAGTTCATGCATTGTATTAATGATAATTTTTTCCTTTTTAGCAAGTAATATTACACCATATTTTCGACATGATTGTAGTGCATCCACTTTGACGTGATATCAAAATTATTTTTTTGCTGTGTACCTAACTGTGCGGATTTACTAAATGGCTATTTATAACTGGCGCTTCATCCAGATTTAATGCATGCATGCGGACATTGTACGGTTCTACCCACGATTCTGCTTTACCGACTGCTCCTCCCCATCGTATGTCGCCCCTGCGACGCTCGCTGCACGGAATACAATGGACTCACCAAATTGGGTGCGAGTCTCGATTGTCTAATTCACCAACTGCGTTGCGTGGTGATATCCCGGTGGATGGGCAAATTGCTCACCTGGAGCGCGATATAGACGGCGCAGCTCCCTTCTAACTCCGGCTGAAGTTAGGTCCTTTAATGCCGACGCGTGGGGTCAGGGTAGTGGTAATAACGAGGGGGCGCGGTGGAGAGGTGGGTCGAAACTATAGACAAAAAGCCGTCAAACGGCTGTTCAACTGCATGAGCGCATTGTTGCAAAACCGCATAGCAAATAATTTACCTTTTCGTTGAAACTTAAATCGCGCACAGTACCGCACTAGCCTATACTAAACTAATTCAATAGTAACTACACCTAATCAAAAGAAATTAACGAACAATTAATTACACTTAGCTTAAAGACACTTCTCACATTTTAAATACCTCTACAAATACACCGCGAAACTATTCACAAAAACTTCACAGTCCTGCCTCTTCCACTGGTTGGGTTAAAGTGGAAGAGAAAGAACCTGAAATTCCACGGATCAAATTTCATGCCACCTCTAATGAGAAAACTTACACGCCTACCCGACCAGCAGGAAGTAACAGGTTTATTGTAGAATGTGTTATTTTGATATATTGATTTGTCATAACACCAGTTGTTACAAAACATGTACCGTTAGTAGTTAAAATAACAAAAAATATAACAAGATTTCCTCTAGGTTTAACAAGACTGTAACTAAATTTGTTATATATTTAACAAAATTTTAACTTATCGTGTTTCATAAAATATGATACAAGATAACAGGATTATAACAAATCCTGTTATAATGAAGAACTAAATTATTACTGAATGTGTTAGAAGTCTTTGGGATCAAACTATATTTATCAATAAATAAACGTTTTGTTCTAATCTGCAATCTGCATTTATTTATTTCGATATTTTTGATTAAAATTGAAAACAAAACCAAAAAGTAGTCAAAAGGAATAAAACAGTGAAGTGTGATTACTTTCTCTTTTGGATATAAACATAAGGTTCAACTCTAATTTTAAAAAGCTTTGACATTGTGTAGATCAAATGAAAACAACTAATGATAATTGTAAGTAGAAACATACCAACTGAATGTTATAAAACAGCTTACTAACTTTTTCTTTGAAATTCATGTCAAGTTTAAAAAAAAATTTCGTACCATCCGACTCAATCAGCACAGATTCCATCCTTCTTTCCATAATAAGCGATGACCCGTGTCATCAGCCGGCCACATTCCTTCGCCTTCATCCTCGCTACAGCTGCTGAGTCTCCTTGGTATAAGCGATGTTCTTCTAGACGGTCTGAAAATTAAATAGCTATGTCATTTTGAGCACAAAAAAGCGTTTTTAAACTCCATAATCACCTTCAATGTAGGACACTTTATTTGGCTCCAAGGGTATCTTGGGCGTAGCTGCTACGCTTTGATCAGTCGATCCAGTACCTTCAGTTCCGTTTCGTCCACGTGGGTTGTTCGATGATCGTCCTGTTACCGATCTGTTACCGAATCCCGATGGCCATAGATCATGCATCAGCAACTTCACAAAAATGTAGTCACTATTTTGACCAACTTCAGAAAATTTCTTCAACTTGTCTTTGGTAACAAATCCTTCGATAACAGTAAAAACGTCTTCATGGGGATTTCCGAGAATTTTGGCATTGAGTGCGTCTGTCAACCTGAGACAACGTCGGCTGGTTTCTTCACTTTTTAATTTCCACTTTTCAATTTGCGCAGCTTGTTCCTCATTGCGCTTGGTCAGTTCATCGATTTTTTCTTGATGTCCACACACGCATACTGAAAGGGAAATTAAAAATCCAGATAAGTTTCATATGATTTTATGGAACAACTTCGGCCTAATCACCCAAAAGAAAGACAAGTAGCGGGTTGTGCTTAAAATGCCAAGAATGGGGTAGTTAACCCTAGTTTACTTACAATTCGAGTTCACCAGATCAATCTGTTGAGGAATAGGATACAGCCGGTGTTTTGTTGCACTTTGACATCCACTTCGGGAGTAGGTTTTTCCATCTTTTTTCGGTGGTTCGTATGAGGCATTGTCGTCCACGGCATCGTTGTTGTTTTCGGCGTCGAATTCGGTCCAATCTAGCAAAATGTCCATGACAACATTACCAACCTGGTGTTGACTGGTATCGACTTCTATATCAATCTGAGGCTCATCGTGTATGACGGAATCTTTCGCAACAGTCGATGAGTTCGTCGTGTTTATGTTGGCTGGTCCGGAATTGTTGAACCTCAAGGAAGTTGATGAGTTCACTGTAGTCTGTCCTTCCGAGCATATCAACTGAGCCTTTCCTTCCTTTTGAGCGTGCTTTGAATTACTGGTCCCGGGTTTCTGGTTCTCCAGCTGTTTGAAAGAATCTGTGGCAGCAGGATTCAGCGAGTTCTCAGAGTTTCTATTCGCTAGTACAGCGTTGTTGTTAGTCGAAATGATCTTCTGTCCTGCTGAGTGCGCTGATTTAGCTTTCCTGTCCATCGGAGAGTGTTTTTGAACGCTGGCTTGGGGTTGTACATTTTCGAGCTGCTTGAAAGATTTGCGCCGCAGTCTCTCTCCGAGAGTCTTTGTCTAAATGTATGGATGGGAATGTTGAAAATGAGGTTATGTGTTTGCGTCGTGCAGCAAATATTACCTGAGCTTTAACATTAACATTTTCAGCCAAAAACTCCAAGTTTTTTAATTTCGCAGCATTGCGAATCTTCTTCAAAGCAGCACACGCTCGGGTTTTTCCCATTTTCGATAGTTTTTGCAGGATATAACGTATTTTTTTGTTTTAATAAAGAGAACACGCGTCACTATGCGAAAGCTGGCAAAACTGATTGACATATGGTTGCCAGTTCGTTTTCAGTAACATTTTCCGTATTGAGATTTTCACGTCTGGTTGTGTTGGTGCGATATTTGAGAGTGTGTTAGTGAAAATCCGAGGAAAATACATAACAAATAGCTGTCAAGCGCATTTTGACAGATCTAATTTCATACATTTTTTAGGTTAGCCAGAGGAAAATAATAAACAACTTTACACGGCCCTGCACTCGCTAGTGTGCGTGCGTTAAACGTCACTAATCTCTATAGAATATTTCAGTCAACTTCTGTTGTTTATCATTTTTAGGCCGATGCAAATATTTATTAAATTTCATCGGGATCACCAAAATTGGTGGAGCGTTAGGGGGGGGGGGGGGTTTAAGATATACATGGGACGAAAAAATAATTAATATTTTAATTAATAAAATTCGAAAATAAAAATAAATCATAATACTAAGATTTTTGTAGTCTAATGAAATTCTCAATTTAACATAGTTGTTGACAGTGCACAGTAGAACCAGCGGGTAGAAACTAACGATTTTAAATTGTCTCACTGCTTGAGTAGCCCATTGGTCCCAAGTGCTTCTATGGCGTACCCCATTCTAGTCGAAATTCTAGTACTACACTATGTTTGTTTTGATTCGCTATGAAAGTTTGACACATAAAATGAGGGGTTCGTGAATTTTCCTATGTTTCGAGGGGTGCATCGATTAGCTTAGGACCGAAGAGAGTACCAGAGCTGAGCCAAAAAGTTGAGCACGTTTCTTCGTTAGTTTCTACCCGTTGGTAGAACTGACAGTTCAGTTTCATCTTATTCAAGATTAATTATGTTTACATGCACCAGTCACACACTCATGAATTTGTAGCTGTTCTTGTTCGACTACTTTATGCTTTACTTTATTTTATGGATTATATTGAAATAATAATAATAATAATACAAAAAGTTTTAAATCCCTTATGCATCATTTATCCTGGTAACACTGTTAGCGAGAAGCAGAAAAAAATTCAATGAGATGAATTAGCAAGGCAGTGCAATTGTAATACAAGCGATAAAGGTACACTAATAAATGGATGGCAATCGATGCCCGTCGGTGATTGGCACTAGATTGCGGAACAGAGACCGACGTTAAATAAAGGAAAGTCATAATTTGTTTCCCTCTCGCTCTCACTTGTATAATTTAGATGATACATTAGTGTACACCGATTAAATGTCAAAAAGTTCAATATGCATTTACATTTGCTTTGATTCAACTTTACAATAGAATTATATGATCTGTACCACCTCGTTCCTGAACCTCATTGAAAAAGAACTTTTCTCTGAAGTTTTTCTGTTGCTTTGCTTGATCACGATTGAAATATCAGCGGATTTTAATTTTGCATAGTTCCAGAATTCACTTTTAGTGTATCGCGGAATTCACTACAAAAATTCAAATGGATGGAAAACGTAGGCCACGTCATTTTAATTTAATGGAACCATGGATTAATCAAAAATACACACAAAAGGTACATGTTTTTAATAAGTTCGTACGTCTATACAATTTAAATTTTATTTTTTTAGCGCTCGAAGACAAATCATCCTCCAAAAAACCCTTTTGATACTGTTTATGAGCCTTCAGAATGTGGTCATAATTTATCAATTAGCCATGAGAATATGGAACCAGGTATATGTACAATGAAATAAGTTTATTTCACGTATTTGCCCCATAAGGTAGATTCCAAAACTATCGGAATCTGCAAATTACAGCAGATACGGGAGCAGTTTTATTTATAATTTCAGTTTTCGATGGAATTTCACTTTCTATGTTGTTGTTCATATAGATATTTTGAGCTGCAGTACCGATACAGTTTCTTCCTTGAGTTCTTCTACACACAACACAACCGAGGAAGCTCATACGGAAAATGAAGGATTTATTAACACTGAGCGCATAAATTCCACATCTGTAAGCAGTAATATTGATAGTTTGAAATGTGCATCAGAGGGGCCTGAATTCGTAAATGAGAGTGAATATTATGGCGAAGATGAAAATGAATTGGTGAGAATTAGAAATATTATACTAATGTGAGGAATATTGTTTGGGTCACGTTTTTTGCATAGACCTTGAGTTGTTAATTAAAATGTACTATATAAAGTATATTTCCTCCATTTCAGAATCAAAATGACTTGATGAAGTTCAGAAACGACCTCAAGATTAATGACGTACTTTTCATGGTTTTGAATTATTATCTTAAGTATAATTTACCTCAACAAGGAGTAGAAGATTTATTGCGTATGCTCAATGTGTTTTCGACAAAAAAAGCTCTACCAGAGTCTTTTTCTATTTTCATGAGATTGTTTCCCAGCGAATATGATTTCGAGCGTGTACATTTTTGTTCAAAATGCCACTATGGGTAAGTGAAGGTTAGTAATATGTATAAAGTGATAAATATCACATCTATTTTATTTATTTTTCAGATACCATGGCACTCCAAGAGCCGATGTTGTGTGTCCTGTTGATAACTGTAATTCGCTTGAAAAGGACTTTTTTGTGATTTTTCCTTTGGAACCGCAAATAAGAGAAACAGTCCTGAAATATTCTGAACAGATAAAAGAATACGAAAATCTAATCATTGAAAAGGATATATGTGACATTAACCGAGGAATTTTGGCACAGTCTCTAACGTCAAGAGAAGAAACCAAATTCTTAACTCTTTCAGCGAATGAAGACGGTGCGGCAGCATTCAAAAGTACAACCAAGAAGCCTCTTTATCCTCTGTTTTTAACGATTAACAACTTACCACCAAAGCTACGATTTGACAAGAACAACCTTATTCTTGGTGCTCTCTGGTTCAATCGTGGAAAACCTGATATGGCACTTTTTCACAAAAATTTCATTTTGCAAACCCAAAAGTTACGCGATGGCATCCAAATTAATTCCGAGAGCTATAAAATACTGATACTCCAAAATTGCTTAGATTCAGTCGGTCGATGTGAAGTTTTTTGCTCTAAGCAGTTTAATGGTTCATATGGTTGTACCATATGTTTGCATCCAGGAAAGACTGTGAACAATCAAATTCGATATCCGTACCAACAAACTGAAGTTCGAAATGATGAAACAACGAGGAAAATCATGTGGCAGATTCATCAGTCAGGCTCAATGGAACCGATACTTGGAATTAAGGGCCTTAGTGTTCTAATCGGCATACCTGATTTTGATATCATAAAAGGATTGCCGCCAGACTATATGCACCTCGTAAACCTTGGTGTCATGAAGCATATTTGGCAACTGCTATTTGAAGGTGATGCTGAAAACAAGTCGCAGCCGTACTACATAGGTAGAAACAAAGAGTTGGTTCAGAAAAGACTACAGTCAATTCGGCTACCTAGCAGTTTTCCACGACGAATAAGAGATGTAGATGAATACTCGAAATTTAAGGCTAGCGAATGGGAGACTCTTCTTTTTCATTGCGTTTACCCATGCCTAAATGATTTGCTTCCAAAAAAATATGTAGATCACATAATGATGTTGAGCTCAAGTATATTTCTGCTTCTGGAGATAAAAGTGTCAAGAAACACTATTACCTCATGTGGCAAGCATCTAGATAATTTTGTTCGTGATTTTGAGCAGAACTATGGAGCAAAAAACATGGTATACAATGTACATTTAACGACACACTTAGCCCAGACAGTAAGAAACCTAGGAGCTCTCTGGAACTCTTCGCTGTACCCTTATGAGAACGGAAACGGCATGCTGATAGGATTCCAGACATCGAAGAATCATCCCGTTCTCCAAGTATCCAATAAATTTTTGCTTAACAGAACATGTCATTTTTCAAAAGTAACAAGGGAATTACCGGTTAAAAATTGGATATCAAAAGTGTGGAACTCATCACACCACAATGTTAAGCTCAATCAAAGCATTCGATGTTTTCTACCTGATAATATTGATCCGGATGGTAAATACAAGGCTACTCAGTTTTGTGATATTGGAAAATATTACTTTAATGGTATCCCAATTTGTTCTAAGGAAACGTGTAAAAACTTCAAATATGACGACTCATTTGTTTTCCTTAATGGTATGTTTCAAAGAATCTATCGAATACTGCTTGAATCAGCGGAAAATGTTTATATTATTGGGGAAATACTCACTACGCAAAAGCTTTATGAAAATATGTATACGTATGAATACTCAGGAAACCTCAAACTAAACTGTATTAATGATTCCCTACGAGTCTGTGTCAATGTTACAATTTCAAACGGTGAAGACGCGGAACGTAATTTGAACTACATTTCCATTTGCACAGCCAGAACACAAATTGATTAGCATATAGATATATATATATAATAACATTTCAAATGTAAACCGTTTTTATACGATAATAATAATTAAATTAATCATCATGATTATCAAATGCTCTAATTTTAAATATTGTTACACTTTATTATCATACCATTAATTTGTAATGATTTGTTGCTCTGAAAATGTAAATAAAACACGAGATTGAAAAATTAACAATAATTTATGATGAAGTAATGAAATTGGGTTGTTAGAGGAATGCTTTTAATAAAACAAGGTTAAGGTTATCTTCCATTTAATTCCACTTAATTTATTTGGTATCCATGACAGATACGTATTTCGACTACAATGTGCAGTGCGACACTGATGAAGACTGCACATTGTAGTCGAAATACGTATCTG